GGAGGTCCAGCAGTGGGGCCAGGGGACTAGGAGCCCTCCCACTGTTGCCCACCCCCAAGCACCAAGAATACAGAGCATCACTTGCCCCAGACTGAGAGTTCCTATCTAGACCTTGTGGCTAATAGCCGCTAATGGACCTCTGCTTGCTCCATATGCTTATCCGATTCCCTCTTATAAGAACATAAGAGAAGCCAATGTTGGATCAGGCCAGTGGCCCATCCTTCTTCTCTCTCTGCCTCCCCCCCCCCACGTCTCTAAAAGGGAACGGTTGTGCTCCTGCCCTCGTTGAAACAAAAAGAGACAAACATAACCAAAAAGAAACCAAAAATCCTGTATTTTTTTTTTAAAAAAATGGGACACGGGAAAATAAAAATACGACGACGAAACTAGAAAGTAAAATGGACAATACACAAATCTCGGTTGTGGGAAAGGGCGCTTCTGTCCATAGAAGCTTCGTCCCCCTCGCCTCTGTAGTGGCCAGCCACTGTACATGAACGACAATAAAATATTATTTTGGTAAGAAAGATTTTGTATACCCCTTAATACTGAGTCCTTTTTTTTTAATATAAAAGTTACATGCACTAGCTCTACACCATGGCGGGGTGGGGCGGGAGGGCCCTCCGACCACCAGGAAACCGACCTCCGACTCCCCCCCAAAAAAGATCAGTATGGAAAGGGGGGGGTGCCTCCATCCCCATTTGGACACCGGAGCAGTACAAGCGGGGCGGCGAAGAGCTTTCAGCGCTGGCACAGAAAGCTCTGCAACAGGCCAGTTAAGGATGCAGAGAGAATTCTAAGCTCGTCGGCTCTTTTAAAAGTCCGTTGTATCAAGGAGGGGAGGCAGGGTGCCGGGTTTTTAAATCTGCCTGTGGGATAACCGTCTCCCCTTTCGGCAGGACCCATCAGGAGCATCTCCCGCACGAGCACCCCGTTGCGATGTGGCTCACCCCCTTCGAGCCCTGGCTGGGGGAGGCTTGTGTCAACAACTCTTCGCCAAGGTAAGTGAAATCTGAAACTCCGTGGGCAGGGGCAGGCTCGCTTCAGCAGACACCGAGGTCAAAGGTCAGGGGAGCGCCGTTTCCTTCAGACGTCACCTGTGAGATGCCACCAGCGTTCATCGGGTGGTAATGGAACAAATACTGGTCCTGACCATTGTTCCCTCTAAGCTGTGGAGTCTCGTGAGCAAAAATTCTACTTTGTGAGCTAATGGCATTAAAGTTGTGAGCGAGCGATTTGGCTTCTGGCCTAAAGCAGCATTTGGGCTCAGGTACAAACCAAAACAGTCTATTATGCTCCCAGTGGATATACTCCTATCCAGTGCTCCCTCTAAGCTGTGGAGTCTTGTGAGCAAAAATTCTACTTTGTGAGCTACTGGCATTCACGTTGTGAGCGAGCGATTTGGCTGCTGCATAAATCAGTTTGCCCTGGAGCCCTCCACCCTGAGCTAAGACAAAAATGTGTGAGCCGGAGGCTAAGAAACTGTGAGCTTGCTCACACTCACTCAGCTTAGAGGGAACACCGGACTCCTGATCTAGCAAGACGATTCCTGTCAGCTTAGAGGGAGCACTGGACTCCTGACCTAGCAAGACGATTCCTGCGCTCACTCTGAAATGAATGGGCCACATCATTCAGGCCCTCACGTAAGGCCCTGGCTGTATTCACAATCGGCTCCTGGCCTCATGTTGGTAACTGTCTGTGCTTGAGGCCCTCCTTCCCCCCCACACAGATCACCAGAAGGCGATCACGAGTGACCAGATCAGCTCACTCAAATGGCATCTACGCAGATCTATTGTCCCCTTTTGGCATCTGTTTTAACTGGAGTTGCAGGAACCTTTATTTCATTGCTGCACGTTAGAGAAGCACACTGGAGCATCGCTTGCGTGCTTAGAGCAAGTCGGTCGCCAGGTGGCAGAGAGGGCGTTTCTCGAGCGCCACCGGCAGAACTGTGCAGCGGTGCTCCCTCCAAGCTGTGGAGCCCTGTGAGCAAAAATCCTACTTTGTGAGCGACTGGCATTAAAGTGGTGAGCGAGCCAGTTGGCAGCTGCATCGATGAGTTTGTTCTGGAGCCCTCCCTTCCCGAGCTGAGACAAAGATCTGTGAGCCGGGGGCTAAAAAAACTGTGAGCCAGCTCACACTCACTCAGCTTAGAGGGAACACTGCTGTGCAGCAGCCATTCTTTTCAATGAGGTCTGCATGAGATACGTTTTTCTCTGGGTTTGTGCCCACTGGCGCTACAGCCCAGAAACAACGCTACAGAGGTGAGCCGTGAATGATGGCATGTGGCGATTTGGCAAGGAGGCCCGTGTTCAGGGAGGGAAGGGAGAGCGTCTCTGCCAGGTGGAATAGGCTTGGTGTGGCACAGGGGTCCCCAACGTGCCTGTGAGCGCCACGGCACACGATGACACCTTTCCTGGTGTCCACCAAATGTTTTTAGAAAGTGAGCGGGGCCAGTCGGGGCTGTTGGCCCCTGGAGAATTGACTGCTGTGCATATATTTTGAAGAAGAAGATGAGATTGGATTTATACCCCGCCCTTCACTCGGAGTCTCAGAGGGGCTTACAGACTCCTTTCCCTTCCCCTCCCCACAACAGACACCCTGTGAGGTAAAAGAAGAAGAAGAGACTGGATTTATACCCTGCCCTTCACTCCCCAAGGGAGTCTCAGAGCGGCTTACAAACTCCTTCCCCTCCCCACAACAGACACCCTGTGAGGTAAAAGAAGAAGAAGAAGAGATTGGGTTTATACCCTGCCCTTCACTCCCCAAGGCAGTCTCAGAGCGGCTCACAATCTCTTTTCCCTTCCCCTCCCCACAACAGGCACCCTGTGGGGTAGGCGGGGCTGAGAGAGCTCTGACAGAAAATGCTCTTTTTCAAGAACAGCTCTGACAGAACTAGGGCTCGCCCAAGGTCATCCAGCAGCTGGATGTGGAGGAGTGGGGAATCAAACCCGGTTCTCCCAGATTAGAGTCCTCGCACTTGACCACTACACCAAACTGGCAGCAGCTGACACCGCAACATGAAGATCCTCACGCTACGGTTGAGGGTAAGCCGCGGCTGCTGTTCGGTGACTTGGCTCCACCTCCTGTCGCAGCCATTTCGTGCCTGCGTCTGCCATGCTGTGTCAGAATCCCAAAGGCGCCCACAGGAGTAAAAAAAGGTTGGGGACCCCTGGCATAGCAAGAGAAAGACCACAGATCCTTTCATTTCAAACTAGCCCTTATCTCCGAGTCAGCAGGGAATTAAAGCCGGTTCTGGTTCCAGAGACAGAGGTTTCAAGTCATAACAAAGGACAGCCCATTGGTTCAATCTGACGTACGATGAGATGAGCCTTTAGTGGGAAGGAGGACCGCATTAGAAAAATCCCACGGTCAATACGGGGCCTCCCACACTCTTCCAAATCCACTGGAAGAACCGTTCCGCACTGATCTTTCCGCTCCTTTCCCCACTCCCAAAATACGGAGGTGACCAGTAAGTGCCAAACAAGCCCTACTGGATGGAAGAACAGATCTTGGTCCCTACTGCAAAAGATGGGGAGGGGAGGAGGAACACAGAGAGAGGCAGAAGAGAAGCAATGAAAAATCCCCCTCTTCGATCTTGTTTTCTCTGGGGAGAGAGAAGCCGCTTCCACACGGAAGTTTTTCTCCACTTTTGACTCAAACTGGAGCAATTTTTTTGGAGGAGGGGTGGGAGCTTCTGTAGGACATCAACCTGCAATTGTCCCAATTCCAGGTTTTCCCCATCCTTAATACACTCTTTTCCGGCTTTACTCTTGTTGTTTGGCAAAGAATGTAGCCCAAGTGGTTAGCATTGCGCGTGGAAACAATGCCATGCGTTTTCCTGTCCTGCAAAGGCAATGCCTGCATCAGCACCATTTCCCCCACTGTTGGCTGCTCACGGGCACCATTTTTCCTGCTGCCCTGCCATATATAGAGCTAGCTTTCTAAAATTAATTAATTGCTATAGCACCATAAACACCACTAGAGGGCTTTTTGAGGACTTTTAAAGGTTGTGTTCAGATTGGCAGTTTGGCACAATACGGTGCCACCTCTAATTGAACCAGTTTAAAGTGTTGCGGAGCATATCAGCCACACAGCACAGCCTGCTGCAGGTTACCCACGGAGACATCCCGTGGTCAAGCATCCACTATTGCAGAGCCTCAGCCATGGAGTGCACTGCAAAAAAAGTTCAAAATTCACGTGCGGGCATAAGTGTGCACGTGCCGCATATGCAAATATGCGCTGGCGCGCATGCACACACATGCACATATAGGCATTTTTTAAAAACACCTCTCCATAGCAGCATAATGGATCTGCAGGTTCAGAGTGCCAAATCCGTTCTGCGTGCACTCCCTCAAGACATCTGGCCATGTGCAATGAATGCACGGCAAAACAAAAACACCAGTTTGGAGGTGGTGGCTTTTTAACCCAGCTCCAAGTCGTCCTCTGACGGGGTGAGTATGCCTGGGGAACACCTGACAGATGTGGCTGTGTAACCGGGCCCCATTTAATCCGTTTGTGAAATATACCTATATCGGGCCAAACTGCCAGTCTGAACGCAACCAAAAACTGGTTAACTGCTATAGCACCACGGAAGGACTTTTTTCCTATAGTGCTATAACTGTCTGTTGCCACTGATCTATTCCATCTGAAATTTTTATTAGAGTCATTATAGCCCTGTAGCGCATGCACGAAGAAAGGACAAAAGAAAAGGACGGTGGATCACCACAGTAGCCATGGCGACCGGGCCCCCAAGACCCAATGCGAAGCTGCTGCAGAGCATGTGTGGATGGGAAAAGCCAGAAAAAGAGACTGAGAAATGCAGAGAAGATTCCCATTGATAGAAGCTCCATCACTAACGCACACGCCTGTGCACCGGCTGTGGCGACAATAGTTGTGTGGAGCATCCTTCCGTGTGGAAGCAGCCAGAGGGTGGTTTTGCTGACCCCAAATCAGGCGAGGAATCCAGATCATCCCCCAGCAATCTCAGCGCAGGTACACGGCTTCTGCAGCGATCGGTGGCAGGGAATATCGTGGCTAAGTACAGGTCCTTACGGGAAAGAGGCAGGAGGGGGACCCATGATAATGCTGACAAAGGGGAGAAAGTGCTGGAGAGAGAAAAGCGTTCAAGTATCCTGGTCAGAGAATGGGGAGCGGGCCCCCGGGGCAGTCAGAGTCAGTCCTTCCGAATCCCCCCAGCCTCCCCTGTCAGGTTGCCTCCGCCTCCGTATCTTCGTCTGCCTCGAGGATGGAAGGGGGCCCCTTGCCTTCTTCTCCGCGGCCCGCTCGGCTCAGCACCTCCATCCATCGCTGTCTTAGCTCCTCGGTCTCGGGGCTGAAATACCAGCACAGGTGGCTCTGGCTGATCCGGAAGGCATGGCGGCGATCCACCCGCTCCCCGGGTTCGGGGAGGTTCACCTCGAAGCCAATCAGAGGCATCGAACGCTGGGCCTTCACATCCTGCGGGTCGATGGGACAGTCAGACTGAGTGGTCAGGAGCAGAGGGCACACACAAGGCTAAAGATGCTGTGCTGGCTCAGCTCCTTTAATTAATTTATTTATTTATATATATATTTTACATTTGTCTCCAACCCTTCCCACAAGCGGGCTCAGGGCAGGTGACGTCAGGATTTCATCAACATTACAGGCAGGGGTCATTTCCTGCAGGAGCGCACAGGAGCGGCGCTCCGGCAGGAAAGAGCCCAGGGGGCGGGCACATGCAACAAGCCCCACCCCCTGCTCCCAGCAGCCCTCAGTCAGAGCAAGAAGCAGCCAGGTAAGTTGCAGAGCTCCCCCCGGTCCAAAACAGTCCAGTGGCACCTTTAAGACCAAGGTTTATTCAGGTACAAGCTCTCCCTCCTCTGCGAGGACAGATCTGCACGTTCCCCCCCCCCAATAGCTAGCAATCCAAAAGAGTCCAGTGGAGCCCCTGCACACTTCCGGTGAGGTAAGGGGGTGTGGCATAGGCAAACAAGTTATGTTAATGAGCTATGCTAATGAGCTCCTGCACCTCTTTTTCTACGAAATGACCCCTGATTACAGGCAATGATCAGATATGAAAACATTCAATTGAAAACAAATTTAGATTAAAATTAAGTTAACTAAAAATGGCGACATGCATTTATATATTAGCCCCAGCAGCTCGATAGATGGTAACCATGGGCGAATATAGTAGGGACGCTTTGCACAGGAGGCCATGGGATTGGATGTCCGTCACATCAACTGAAGGCCTGGTGGAACAGCTCCGTCTTACAGGCCCTGTGGAACTGTAATAAGTCCCGCAGGGCCCTGATCCCACGCAGGAGCTTGTTCCACCAGGTGGGGGCCAGGACTGGTTGAGGCTAAACGGACATCCTTCAGGCCAGGGATAAAAACAGGTTGCTTACCTGTAACGGGTGATCTTTGAGTGGTCATCTGTGCATTCACACCTATGGGTAATGCACCTGCGCTGACCCCAAATCAGTGATCTATAAAGTTCTATACAATTTTCGCGCCTCGCCCGGCCCGGCATGTGCAGGAACCCCACCGTGCACGTCCAAAGGGGTGCTGATATCCCGCCAGTTTCCTCCTGACCGCCGAACAGCTCAGAAGCAAAGAGCTGACAGCAGTGGGGAAGGGAGGAAGGGCAGTGTGGATACACAGATGACCACTCAGAGGTCATCAGTTACATTTACGCAACCTGTTTATCTTCGTCATGGTCTCTGTGCATCACCTCTATGGGAGAATAGCAAGCAGTGGCTCACCTGGAGGAGGGTGCTGACAGCCGGTCAGTTCCATGAAGAGGCCAGGACTTGACATCCGTCACTTGTCCACTGGCATGCCCGAATGTCCAGAGCACAATGCTTGATGAAAGTGGTAGGAGCCGACCAGGTAATGGCATTGCAGATGTCAACCAAGGGAACCCCTTTGAGGAAAGCAGCCGAGGTAGCCAGCGCTCTAGTCGAATGGGCTCGGAGTGGACCAGGAAGTGGGCATTTCACCAGCAAATAACACAACCATATTGTGCCAACAATCCACTCGGAGATTCTTTGGGCCGTAATTTTAGTGCCCGGTCTGTGACTAGCATAAGCGAAGAAAAGATGTGGATCCTTGTGCATAGCACGGGTCCTGTCCAAATAGAAGAGGAGCGCCCTCTTAACCTCCAAGCAGCGCATAAGCCATTCCTCTGCAGCAGCAGAAAGGAAGAGATCCAGCAGAAAAAATTCCGAATGCAGGTGAAACTCAGACAACTTTTGGAAGAAAAGAGATGTCAGAGGTCAATTGAATAACGTTCGGCAGAAAACAAAGAAACGGGGGATCCCATCGGGGAGCTAGGAGTTCTCCAACCCTCCTAGCCGAAGTGATTGCAACCAAAAAGGCAGTCTTCCAGAACACAAACTTGAGGTCACAAACAGCCAGCAGTTCAAAGGGCTTCCCGGTAAAGTAACGCAGATCCCAGAGTTGAACAGAGAGTCTTAACAGGAGGATAAAGGTGAAAGAGGACTTTTAGAAAACGTTTGGTAGTTGGATGGGGGGGGGGGACTGAAAAACCATCCACTAAACAATGACGAGCAGATATGGCAGCTAGATATACACATAGGGAAGAGTGAGTTGAGGCCAGAATCCGCCAAGGACAACATGAAGTCAAAAATACGACCGAGGCCCACAGATTCAGCAGAGGCTTGCATAGAGCCCAAAAAGGTAAGAAAGTTAGACTACTTATAAGGGTAGAACTTATAAGGCATAGAAGATTTTCTGCTGTTCATCAACACTGTGGAGACACGCTTAGAGAATTCAGGAAAGTGATTCTCCAGACAGTCAACTTCAGCTGAGGGACGTTGTGGTGGCTGAGGCAACCCTTGGATGCAATGAGGAGATCTTGGGCCGGTGGAAAGTGGTGGAAGCGCCATCAGGCGAGACGGAGAAGGAAAGGGAACCATGCCTGTCTCGGCCACCACGGGGCGACCAAAACGCAGTTTGCCTCGTCCATCACGATCTTGTGGATCACTCTGGTTAGCAGGAGCAGAGGCGGAAACAGAAAGAGGAAATTCCGGTCCCACGGGTACAGTAGGCCAACTCCCAGGGATTGGAACCCCTTGGCAGCAGAACAGAAGGCATTTCTTGTTTAGTCTGGAGGCAGAGACATCCACCATGGAGTACCCCCAACGGCGAGACAGAGCTAATGCCAGTTCAGTTCCCATTCATGGAGACGTGCCCCCCCTGCTGAGAATATCAACGTTGAGGAGCCCAGGAATGTGAGCAGCAGAGATATGAATGCCCTTGGATATGCACCCATCCCAGAGGTCTAGGGCCAGAAGGCAAAGGTGGCATGACACAATCCCGCCCTGATGGCTGATGTGACTTAGAGCAGTTGTGTTGTCCGTAAGGATGACAACTGACTTTCTGAGAAGGAGTGGCTGAAAAGAGTGGAGGGCAAACTTGATGGCCATGAGTTCCAAGTAACTGATGTGATGATGTAGAAGCTGAGGTTCCCACCTGTCTCCCACGCAAAGGCCGCTGAGGTGGGCCCTCCAGCCCCATAGGGATGCATCCATTGTCAAAGAAAGAGCCAGAGTTGGAAGCGGTTGTTCCCTCCAAGTTAGGGACTGTCAGACAGCATCTGGAGGACACAGCAGAGCCGTTTGGGGTTGCGTCAACGGGTTGAAATTTCGGAGAAACCACAGCTGGAGAGGTCGCATCTTTAGTTTGGCAGAGACTATGATGGAGGTGGTGGCTGCCATCAATCCTAGAAGACGTTGGACTGAGAACACAGAGACCCAAGACTTTATTTGACAAATGAGACTGAGGAGGGCATCCACCCTGTCGTTTGGAAGATAGGCTCTACAAGCCACGGAATCCAGAATAGCGCCTATAAACTGCTCTCTTTGGTTTGGAATGAGTGTTCCCTCTAAGCTGAGTTAGGGTGAGCTAGCTCACAGTTTTTTAGCCTCCGGCTCACACATTTTTGTCTTAGCTCACAAAGGATGGCTCTGGAGCAAACTAGTTTATGCAGTAGCTAAATCACTTGCTCACAACTTTAATGTCAGTAGCTCACAAAGTCGAATTTCTGCTCCCAAGACTCCACAGCTTAGAGGGAACATTGGACTTCTTGTGATTGATGCAAAGACCCAATAAATTGTATCACAAAGTGTATTCTTGCAGTGGGAACTGTAGTTTAATCCAGGTCCATTCTGAGCATACATCAACATGATAAATGATGCTCACTGTACAGATACAAAAGCAGCATGTAAATGAGAACTTCAGCTGATTTTGAATGCTTCCTCACATGCTGGGGATGGCTCCAGGGCATATGTAATCCTAGCAGTCCTGTAAATTGTCAGCATGCAGCCAACGGCAGCTATTTGGCCCGATGCCACATGAAATCTAAAACACTGTTCATTTTAAATTGTGAACAGATTGGCAGTGTGAGCATACGGGGTTCTTGACTTGAGATAAAATGTGCATTTGGGTAGGGTGAGTTAGATTTTCAAACATATTCTTCACAAAGAAAATAGCATCTCCAAACAAAAATAACAAGACACTGAGAAAACAATCCCTACCTTGCATGGTGCAAAATCATATCCTCCAACTACCCCCGTTATCAGATTTTTTTTCATTCTCAGGTTAATTATTATCCCCTAATTTTGCCTCTTAGACAAATGTCTCTTTTTAAATAAAGTGTCAGTATGCACAGAATTCTTTAGATACTAACCATTCCTCCTCCAGGTTTCTAAAAGTTAAATCTGTGAGTGGAAGGTGCATGAATTCAAATACATACGCATGGACGCAAAGGGCCAGCATATTGCTTCATTTTCTATTCTTCACCACATAATTGCCTTGCCAGGTAATAAGTGCTGCAGAAAGTATGTGAGTTGCAAATGAAATGTTCTATTAAACTTTTTAAGCTTTTATTTAAAAGGTAAACTATATCAGTTATACAGAATGGGGGGAAGAGCCTTCAGCAATGTGAAATTTGTAAGAGGGCATTGATACCTATAGTGGTATTATGAGTCTTGTAAATGTGTACACAAGCGAGCTCCTATTTTAATTTGGAACATGCTGGAGGTATTAAAAAATAGCTGTGGATCATGACCTGGCAAGTGAACATCCTCAACAAGCATAAGACCAGACTAAGCCCTGTCTGAGAAGCTAAAAGCAACATCGTTACATGTAAGTGGCTAAATAATTTCCGAAAGCACAAGCAGCATTAAATCTTCTGAGCATCCTGAAGGAATCGACTTTGTTAGTGCAATCCTCCAGGCAAAGCAGCTTATCAATTCTTAAATCAATTATTCCAAATGAAAAGTCACAGACACATAGGCATTCCCTGAGTTGAAAAACTCCACAGGCTACATAATGGATTTGCTGAGAAACAGTAAATTCTGCAGGAAAAAACCACTTTGTTCCTTCAGATTTTCACACTGATCTTCCTGCCTACCTGCCTCCAAATGACAGCATGGCATCTAAATGCCCAGTTTCAT